AGTATTTTTTCAATGTAAGCAAGCATGTTTTTGTTCCTATTTTCGAAGAAAAATCGGAAAATTTATGCTTCGGGTGATTTATGATTATGCCAGTGGTATCATTTTTTCATACTGCAAGAAATTCAATCAGTAAGGTGCGCAAAAATCTTTCGAGGAGAGTGGTGGTGGGGGGGGGGGGGGGGGGGTTCGGACTTTAAAAAATTTAATTCTCCAATGATTTCTGACTGATAATTATATTTAAAATACAAACAAGAGTGCTCGTATCAAGGCGAAGCCCTGAATGTTCCGACTGCCTTTAAAGGTTTATGGAACAGTAATAACATCGAAAAAATAAATGTAATAAGACAAAACGAACATTTTTTTTTAATGTGAAATTTTTTAATGAAAATCATCCCCCCACACGCCATATAAAGTACAAAAGGATAAAATTTGCTCCTTGTAACAAATCAATTATGGCAAATAAGCTTCTTTCAACCAATTTGGAACAATTTCTAAGACGGATTAACTCTCCGCTTACGCGTTAATAGCGCGAAATATATCGCGCGTTAATTGTCCAAAATTGGCCAAATTGGCAATCTTTAAACCCCCATAACTTTACGACAAATAATCACAGGTGAAATATCTTTTCAAATTTGAGCTCATAACAACAATACCTTTCGAATGATATAAAAAGATTCCCTCAAAAATGGCTAGTTAAAAAGTCGAAATTTGTCTGAAGATAAAAAAAACCCACCCCGAGCACAAATATTCCGTTACTTTCGTATCGAAAGTCGGAACAAAAAAGGAAGAGTGAGTATTAAGTATTTCATTGAAGTTTTAAAAATAAGTTTCAGTATTGATTGAAAATGTACGGTTGAGAACAAGAATCGGAAAAATTGAGCAAAGTTTTAGTGCTCTTCTTTGGGTTCGACTGACAATCGTCAATTTGTCGGCATTTTGATTGCGCATTATTCTCTAGTGGATTCCAGTAACAAGTGCCTTGAAAACATTGCAATTATTGCAAAAAAATGGTAGATTTGAGAAAAATACGTGCAAAATCATGAGAAATAAATTCGATGTGTGGCTTAAAATGTCCAAAATTGAAAAAACAAATAACTACTTGTGATCAAAATCAAGTTTTGACTGGATAAACTTGGTATCAACAAGTATACGACCCAATTCTGATTTGAATAAGCAACAGTATGAGTTATCGGGGTTGACAAAAAATGGTAATTATACATTTTTCATTAATAAAAAAAAATGCTCATCATACTCTTTCATACAGTTTCATAGAGAAAAATGTGTATGAAAGTAGCGAAATAAGCGTTTTTCCCATAAACGAAATTGTATGATAAGCATTTTTTCCATACTATGAAATTGTGTGATAAACTTTTTTTCCATAATATGAAATTGTATGAAAAGCATTTTTTCCATAAGTGAAAACACAAAAAATTTTTGTTTCGAAATTTTGTGTTTCAAGGATTTTTGTCTAGAGAAAACCCAGAGTGTTTTTGGCAGTTACTACGCAGATAAACTGCAGTTGGAGGTTTAAGCCATGAAAGTTAAATTTTACATTTTCACATGGAAATATGAACCAAAAAAGTAGCTTTTTCAAAATGTCTAGATAATTTTTAGTTTGAAATTATGATGGTTGAGAAAAAAGTCCTGTTTTTTTTGCAAATTTAGTTTTATTTAAGCAAATGAAACAAAAGATAATCCATTTGTTAGAAGGAGCGAAATCTATCTTTTTGTTCTTTATATGGCGTGTGGGGTGATGCTTTTCATAGAAAAAAATTCGAAATTTAGAAGAAAAAAAACTTCATTTAGTTTTATTTATTTAATTTTTTAACGTTATTACTGCTCCATGAACCTTAAAAGGCAGTCGGAACTCTCAGGGCTTCGCCCTGATACGAGCAGTCTTTTATAATTTATGCCATTCATATTTAAAATTTCAAAAACATATTTATTGGCCTAATTAGAATTTTATATAGTTTTGCAGTTTTAGCGGTTAAATTTTTTTCTTGGTGTTTTTGTCACAGTTTCGTCTGAACAAGCGCTGATCTAGGATTTGTCGAGGAGGGTCGGGTGGGGAGAGGAAGACTTTTAAAAAAATCCCAAATCACTATAAAGTCCCTATTTTGAAAAACTTTCTGTACCGCAGGCAAGTTTGCAAAAAAATTAGGCCAAAAGGCGTTTTTATGCACTTTTTGGAAAATTTTGGCAACAAAATTTTGTTTTTTCGGCACGCGCTCCCACTAAAAGTTCAGTAAGGGCTGGCGTTGAAGGCGACTAAAAGTTTTAAGATCAGTCAGCCATAAATGGATATCTCAAAATAGTACAAAGGGGGGGGGGGACCTTTGGGTGAGCGGAGAGTTAATCCGGCTTAGAAATCGTTCCAAATTAGTTGAAAGAAGCTTATTTGCCACACTGATTTGTTGCAAGGAGCGAAGTATATCCGTTTGTACTTTATATGGGGGATGATTTTCATTTAAAAAAATTCATTCTGTTTTATTTCATTTAATTTTTCAATGTTATTACTGCTCCAGAAACCGTGAAGGGCAGTCGGAGATTCAGGGCTTTGCCCTGATACGAGCAGTCTTGTCTGTTTTAATTTCACTTTGTTCCAATCTACTTTAACAAATAAAATTAGAAAAAAATCATGCGTTAAAAAGTAGTCGCACATTTCTTTAATTTATTTGCAATTTTTGTGGCTACTGGTTTGCGAAAATTGAAAGATTTTTGTGTTCCGCTCAAAATTTGTTACGATAATGTTCAATCAAATTTTGCAAAAATCATGCGTTAAAAAGTAGTCGCACATTTGTTGTTAATTTATTCAATGAGATTAATAGTATCAACCACTCAAATCTTTTTAATTTATTCTCAATTATTGCGGCTACTGGTTCGCGAAAATTGAAGGATTTTTGGCCAAAAAATTTTGTGACGAATTGCTTTAATTATAGTTCAAACCGGGGATATTTAGTTTTTTTGACTATCCCTCTCGTTGACCCCCTGAAACTAACCTGACGTCCTCTTTTTTTGGATGTAGATACGACATAATTTCCTTCATTTGAAGATGGTTGGCTCGAGGAGGTAAATTTGGATAAACTCATTCCGAACAAAATCTGAAAAAGTGAAACTTTAACAACAAAGACCAATTAGTCAAGATGCGCGAAGTAATGTATAAATAAATATGAATTCGTCAAGTTTTCAGTAAGGCGTTATCATGTCTGCGGCAGGCATGAACATGTTTCACTCAGGTCTGATCATGTAAAATCCAGGTACGACCATTTGTGTAGAAAAATACGCAGCCCTGCATAATGGGGGAACAGACCTGAGAATATTCTCTCCCCTGCTAAATGGATGATCAGCCGTGAAATGGCACAAAAAGTTCAGTACGAGTAGAGACTTTTTTCTTTTGATTTTGAAACTTTTATTGCTCCTTCCAACCAAAATAACTTCATGCAACTTAAGGGTCAGTCGGAGCGTTTTTTAGATGTTAATTCGCAATGGCGTATGACAAAAAAAAATCTTCGTTTGAAAAATATATAATATTTCTAAAATTTGAAAATAGTTTAGTTAATAATCATAAAAATAATAATCATAAATTTTTTGCAAATTAGATTCCATTCATTGTAAAAGTTACTACATTTACAACCAAACGAAATCTCATTGCGAGGAGAACACCGTGGAACTATGCAGCCCTTTTTCAGGCGCCTCTGATTGGTTTTTTAAGATAGGTTTTTTAAACAGAAAAAATAACTTGTTGTTTTGTAGAGGCTTGTAGTTGTTGTTTAGTTGTTTTGTCTATAAAAAATAGGAATATAAAATTTTGAAAGCTGAATGACTACTGGGTTGATAAGCATAAACTACAAAAAATGAATTCTTTTAATCTCTAACTGGTAAATTTTTTCCATCACTAATTGGTGGAATTTTCACCGTGAGGCGGCAGTTCGTTACAGGCGACAATTCGTAACAGTAGACTAAGCCAAAAATATTTATTTAATCACATGTGGAGTGAAGCGGAGCAAGCATATTATATTTGCCAAATATTTGTTACGAATCACTGTTATGAATTGTCGCCCTACAAATATTCAGCTCTTCAAAAAGAGACAGGTCATAAAGTAGAAAAATCAAGAAGTGAACCAATTTTTTGCCAATCAGAATTGGGATATTAAAATAATGTACGAATTGAACAATTTGTTAAATTCTTGCATACGTTTGTTTTTCTTATCTCGATTCTGATTGGTTAGTTTTTGTATCTGTATAAATTTTCACGAGATTGGAATAAAAATTTTTCAGATAAATCAACTTCATGTCTGATGTAAAAATTATATTCGCGTTTTTCTAAATTAAGTTTCAAGGAACCAATTTTGGTTGAAGCAAATTTTGTATTTGCGGAACAGTTTTCTTTGAAATGAGGCTGCCACTGTTTTTCGAATCTGCAAAAATGAATGTTTTCTGCGAGTTAATTTTAGATATTCAGCTTTATCAAAAAATCTTAAGATCGTTGCTAGTTCGATCTATTCAGCTATTCATATGTCTAGATTTTTTTGAATGCAACGAAAGTATATATGGTAAAAAAAAACACTTTATAAGTATCGAGACTTCAGAAACTTTTCTAAACATAAAAGAGATCTTAGTTTTGAGACCTTGGGAAAAGAGCGAAACGTCTCTGTTTCAAACCGTCGCCAGTTATGGTTTCTCGCTGGCTAAAATAGTCTTTTGTCACAATTTGTTGCCTCACGATCAAGTAAGCAATGAAAAGAAATGTCGGATTATTTTGAAAACTGTACACGGATAGGTCGGAATGGTGAAAAACAGAACATAGTTTGGCTCGGAAGGAAACCTGAAGATCGTTTTAGAATGTAACGATTCCCAGATTGATATACAGGAAAAAACGGCATTATTTTTTTTTACTTTAATTATTACTATAAACAAAGTCCACTCAAACTACAATAACTGCTTTGAAACATATAAACATAACTGCACGTGCAGAGCATAAATATTTTTTCGTTAATCCAAAACGCATAAATTTTACAATTTAATTGAACGAACAGAGAGTATTTTATACCACGTCGTATTTTTCGTGAATTGTCGGATTATGTGACCAAACTTGAGTTTTATTAATTTTTATTTTCTCATGCCTTTTTAATTTGATTCTAGTGTAGTTATTATGTCGTTTTTTGTTGGTTTTCTGCCTGTTTCACATAGTTTTTTAACTGGGTTCTGAAAAATATATTTGAGAAAGGCGACGAGAAGCTCCAAGTGCCCCATAACTTCTGAGTTGGGGCCAATTTCTTCAACCACTTTTTGTCAAATTGGTACTGTTCTTCAACTATAATTGCACGTTTTAATCAGGCGTGATCTCTGTTAACCAGCTTCCAAACTTTTTCCCCCTATACGATCCATCTTATATCAATTTCTGGTGAGCTGAGATGGACGGGGTGAAGCCAGGAGACAGGGATATAGAAACAGCTGTCAGTCCCAGTCCCGAGAGGCAGCAGGCCAGGTCAGAGCAGGCAATCATGGCCACAGAAGAGGGGGGCTCAGCGATTGGGGACCAAAACGAAACTCTCGGTGGAGATCTGCAAAAACAGGTAAGAGAAAGTGTTATCGGGTCAAAATTTTTCCCAACATATTCCTATGAGACGAGGCTGAATGCGACCAATATGTGTAATTGTTCCCCGAGTTATAATAAAAAAAGGACACAATGAAACCCATATTATAGTAAATTGGGCTCATCCAACCCCGTCTACTGGGACATTAAGCACCCTCCGTGAAACAAAAACAACAAGCGGAACAAATTTTGACCCGGGACAAAAATGGTCGCGCATCTGAAAATCTCAATTTGAAATATAAAGTCGCGCAATAACGAGGCATAGATAAAAAAAAAGAATCCGCGAAGTCCCGAAAGTCGCACTGTGTCAAAATAACGTCGCGCAATTTTAAAAAAAATAGCTCCGTTTGTGTGATTCATAAAGCTGCAGTCACTAGAAGAGGTGTAATAACTGCAAACCATAGGTTAAAATCGTCACAAAATAAAAAACTCAATGAATCATTACGAGGCGAAAATGTGCATTTTGTGAATTGTGAATTTTCGCAACAGGCAAAAATCAGATTTGTCGCGGAATCCGCAACATTGCCATTTTTTTTATCATCTCTGCTGTTTTGGATTCCACGGCCAAATATATAAAACACTGTATTGCTCAAAATTGCTCCAAAAACTGGCGGAATTCAGAATGTGTGGAATTCAGAACCAGTTTGTGGAATCTGTTAACAAATTTAGCTGTAAATATATGTGTTTAGTAAACTTCAGCTGTCGCAAATTGTGACCGGAATCCGCATAAATTTGAGGAATCCACTTGCATTTGCGGAATCGACTTACATTTGCGGAATCCGGGATAACTACTCATATTCGCTCGTTGCTGAATCCGCAGCAAAATCAATATGCCGACGAAATTTACGTTGCAGCTATTTGTAATCGGAATCCACTGAAAACTTTTTAAGTTGAATCCACTAACAGTTTGGAACATGTTTAACGACTTTTCTCTGTGCAAATTTTGGCCTCGTAATGATATTACTATATATTTTAGTTGTGCTTAATAATTTTGTAGCAAAATAAAAAGCAAAAATCAATGCTTTAGTCATTGGGCAACCTAATGAGGAAAATAAATTTATGCTTTTTTTGGTCATTCATGGGCTACAGGATCACCTTCAAACATGAATTATAGTTTTACATTTGACTCACGTGATATTTTGAAGCTTAACCCTGACATAACTCTATGAGGTCTGCAGGCATAGTTTTGAAAATAAAATGAAAGCAGCCGAAACAAGGCTTACTGTACTGTCAAACATATCTAAGCAGAGTCAAATGTCGGAAAGTTTGGCCCATTTTATTGAAAATTGAATTAAAAATATTCAAGAAACCATCGCTTATCAGTTTCTTGATTTATTGAAGCACAAGAAAAATCAAGAAGAGCCCATAATTCACTAAATAATTGTTCTTTTTTGCTCAAAAACTAAGCAAATAAACTGCGAATGAATATCTCTTCCAACCAACAAACCTAATTTTTCGGTATTTTCCGATTTGCAAATTATCGCGTAAAGAAAAATATTAATATCTAAATTTACATTCCACTAGCAAGTGATGTCACCATTTCAAACTTAAAAAGATGATAGGGTGTTTGATGATTTCAACCTAGATTGAATACGGATTAATCCAAATGCAAAGAACTCCTTGTTTTTACAGCGAGGTTTATATAGGCCTTTTTTAAAATCCAAAAGCTAAGAACAAAAAAATATATTTTCTTTCTGAAGGAAACCTTCTTATTCATGCAAAAATTTTCATCGTTTTGGGATCCAAGAAAAACGATAACAAAATTTCGATTCCTTAATTTTTTTTATCACCTTAAGTTTTTTTAATCTGAAAAATCTTTCTTTCAAAAAATAAAATAAGACTATTGATGTAATCTCAGAGCTTTGCATGCAAAAAAAAAACATTCATAAGCTGCACTCTTATGTTTTTTAGCTTATGAACATGTTAATAGTTTTTCTTGAGTTTTCCATTAAAAAAGAATTTTTGTTTCACAAATCTCTTACAGAATCAACTTTTAGGTAAAGTTAAGTTAGCTGACTGTATTTTATTAGCTTCTCAAAACAAGAAAAATGATTGCTCGTATCATTGAAAAAATCTGCTGGTTCCGTTCGCGCTTTAGGATGCATCAAATAGATATTTTTGAATCAAATCTTCTTGAAACTTGAAAATTGATAAATATTCAACAAAAAAATTCACAATTAAAAATTTTGCGGAGCGTGTTTTAAACTCTTGTTTCCACCCGCTATCTAAAGTTCAAAGATATACATGGGTTAATAGCACAAAATATATCCCGCGTTAATTATCTCACATAAGCCAAAAGGTTTTTAAAGCTCCCGTAACGGTACCAAGATGATCGCACTTAAAATAGATTAAAATACTCGAGCTATGGACGTCAATACTTTTCAGATAATGTTAAAATCCGAATTAAAATAGGCAACAAAAAATTTGAAATTTCTCTAAAAAAAATCGCTCAGCGCAAAAGTATTTCGTCTTTTCTTAAAATGTCGGAACAAAAACTTTCCTGATTTTCTTCTTTCAAATTTTTCAAAAGGCTTCAATAGAAATATGACAACTTAAACTCACATTATAGAGAAGTTAAGTTAAGATAATATATAATAAAACTAAGATATGGCGAACACAAAATTTTGCACGAGAAGGTTAACTGATTTCGAACAATCGTTAAAAATTGATAAAATTTTGAAAGAAAAAGTTAAAAGAGAACTGAAACTCTTCCTTCAACGCGCTATGTAAAGTTCAAAAAATGTGTTTCACATTGTTTCAAGAAGTCAAAAAGCTTGTTTTAAGTCAATTGTCTTGTTTTTTTAATATAAAATTTCAATTTATTATTACTTAATCATTTTTTGTTAGAAAATTGAGTTTGTGAAGCAAACAAAGCGATCCAAGCAAGCTTAATTAACTTTTTAAGCTCTCCTCCGATGATGAGCTCACCACGCACCACAGCCATTTTTTGTGTCAAGACTGGGGATTATACTTCTGCTTTGCAAAACTTGGGTTCTGAATGTGGCCCCAAAATTTTGGAGAATTAAGAGAAAAAAGTTTGGGCAATAGAACTTTTTATTAAAGCAGAGACGAGATTTACGTGATTAGTTGTTGTGAACCGGTGGAAAGAACGAAACTACTGCTGATATATGAGTGACATGTTGAGTTGTGATTGATCAAACAATCTAAGCAGAGAAAAAAAGAAATTGAGGTATTGATTTGCCAAAATAATTTTAATCTTTTGAAACTTTTAAAAATACCGAATAGGTCGATCTACTTATAAAAATACCGAATTGTACGATTGATAACTTGCTCTCTGCTGGAAAATCAGCAAACAAAGTTGTGCTTAAATACCTCGTTAAAAATATGAATTAAATATTACGAAATAGTTTTTTCCAAGAAAAATGAGTTGATGAAACAAACAGAACGATCTAAGCAAATAAATTGATCTGTATCCACCCACTTTTCAAAACATCAAAACAAAGTTGCTTGTATCCCTACGAAGCTCTGAATGTTCCGACTGCCTTTTTTGTTTTTCTTTGCAGATGATAGTTGAGGCTACGAAAAATATTTCTTTTGTGGATGGCTGCCGCTGATTCACGGCTGATTTTGACGTTTTTTGTTTTTCAATGGGATATCGAACACCTGGGTTCTTGTTTTAGAAAATCTAGAAGTCATAGAAAATCTTGTTTCAGGTTTCATTTGTGGCAGGGGAGGATGCAACAGAGGAGCAGACAGGCGCAGGGGAAGGGGGTTTCAAGAAACTAGAAGAGGATGATGTCGATGAAATGGAAGAGAAAGCAAGGGTGAGTTGGAAATTTGAGGTCTCAAAACAAACCAACCATAATTGAAATCATAAAACCATGTATTTAAAATCAACAAATGCAAGCATAACAATGGAGAGGTTAGACAAAAGGCATAAGTTATGCCCATTGAGAGTCTATCCTTTGTCAGAACTCAAAACTGCAAGGGAATTGTTTTTGTTACGTAACTGCTGCTGTGAGCAGTCGTGAATATGTGAAAATAAGGGCCTAGAAACACAGTGCCTTTAATACCCAAAAATGACCATGTACCTGTCGTTTTGAAATTTTTTTCGGAAAGTTTTTCGGGCCATCGTATAACGTACTTGAAGTGGTGCCAAAAAATGCAACTTATTGTTCCAGCAGATTTGTGGACATATTTGACCGGCAGAATGTTCCGGTAAAAGTTGAAAAAACAGCAAAAAAATGAACCAAAAAACATTTGGCGTCAAATTAATTTGACTTCTATTAGCATTCGAGGCTTATTACGAGGCCAAACTGTGCATTTTGAGAATTGTAAGTGGATTCCGCAACAAGGACGTTCCCTTTGTTCTTCTTTTGTTCTTTCATTTTTTGGATCGTTCCGGCAAAGTTTTAACATGTTTAAATACATGTCTCTGGGATCCAGGAACATACAGACACAAAATTGTGCGCCTATCCAGTGCAAAGTTTGGCCTGTAATGCTTTTGCCGACCATTTTTTTAGACGACCAAATTGATTTTCTGAGCTCTCTGAAAATAAATCATTATAAAGACCATATTTAGACCAAATTTTCTGCGCCGCAGGTAAATTTTTGAAAAAAAAACAGGCCAAAAAGGTGTATTAGGAACTTTTTGGAGAATTTTGACCGAAACAATCGCGTTTTTCTGCGCGCACTCCCCTCTCAAAATTAGAATAATTTGGCGCCAGAGGCGTCTTTAGAAAAATTTTGAGGTCAGTCAGCTAAAAATCGATATCTCAAGATAGTACGAAGGGGGGGGCCTTTGGGTCGACTGTGGGTCGAATCCCTGAGTGGTGGAAAGCATCTCCCCCCCCCAAATCAACAGGTGGCTATGTTGATTTAACGGATGCTATTCTCACCATGTTTTGTATGCCATATGTGCTATTATGTGATGTGTTCATGTGTGTAGATGAAGCAGTTGAAGCGGATGAAGGAGGAGCAGACGTACAACCAGTTCACAGGACTGTGTGACAACCTCATATCCAACTACTCCACTCTCAACTCATCCATTGAAGTATGTCTATACACTTAATACACACATAACCTACTGCAAGGACCCCCCCCTCCCCCTGTCTTTACCCGTACAGAAAAATACACAACTATATGAAAGAAAAGTCACTACGTTAATAGTGCTAGCTGTCTACCACCGAAAATTCTTTCTTTTGAATGGCCAAAATTACCTAAGTCCGTGACAGCAACCAATATCCAACCAATTCAAATCAAATTTTTGGGTGCAATTTTGATATAGACATCCTGGCCACCCCACCCCCTGTCTCTAAGTGAATAAGGAGTTCGGCTGCATAACCACCCTAACCAAGGTTCTCTCTCCCTTATCTTGTATTTCAAAGTATAACATACATCTTTCAAAAACTTTTCCAAGCTTTGAATTCGATTCTAAGCCCAGCTGAACACTTTTGAGAAAAAAAAACACTTTTTTCATTATTGAGAAAAAAGTATGAAATTTTGATTTTCAGAGTCATTATTTTAAATAATGCACAATTCTTCCAGTTCTTTAATTTGTAATATATCTCAACAGGCGCGGATCTAAGAATTTCTCGAGGGGGGGGGGGGCGGATTTTCAAAAAAAATTTGAAAATTTTGTCGACCTTTTGTTTTTAGGTCAACCAAATTGATTTTCTGAGCTCTCCCAAGCCACTTTAAAGACCCTAATTTGACCAAATTTTCTGCGCGCAGGCAAATTATTAAAAAAAAGGCCAAAAAAGACTTTTTTAAGGCATTTTTTGGAAAATGTCGACCAAAAGTTCGCGTTTTTTCGGCGCGCGCTCCTCCCTCAAAATTAGTATAGATTGGCGCCAAAGGCGCCTTTAGTAAAATTTTAAGGTCAGTCAACCAAAAATTAATATCTCAAAATAGTACAAAGGGGGGACCCTTTCGGGCGGCAGGGGGTCGAGACCCTGAAGGAAAGAAGCGTCCGATAGACGCCCCCCCCCCCCCCCCCCCTAAATCCGCAATTGTATCTCAAGATAATTTCAAACCTCTTTGTCACTGAGAAATTTAATGAAAAACGTGTTGTGCAACTAATGATCAAACCCAATTTCAATTTAGGAAGTTATGAGTGCAAAAGATGGCTTGATGAGCCGAGATCTTCCTCCCTCCGTGCAGGCCAACATGGCCCTCAAGAGCTCACGCATGCTCAGATCGTGAGTTGATTAAAGCTATCAGCACAAACCTGTACTTTTTCAGAAGATATTTTTGCATAAACAATTTGAACCTTTTCGTACAAAATTATTGTTTTTGTGACGCGACTCCAACTTCTGTTGTGCTATCAACGGAATAGCATTAGCCAGCATTGTTGCTGAATCGTAGCGAAAGTATTTTTTTGTAAACTATAATAATCTGTTAATCAAATTTACTAAATATAAACGTTTTATATACTGTTCGGAATCTAAATCTTAAGTTTATTATTCGCAGTAAACGAATAATCGTTTTACGAATGAAAACAATAAGTTCTTTTCAGGCTTAGAATTTAAAAAACGAAATTTTTGTTGAAGCAATAAACATGTCAGTTTCAAATCTAGAGAAACGTACTTAGACCATTTGGTCCATTTTCAAACCTACCATCGTATGAGAATATCATACAAAAACTAATATAGTTGCGTGTGAGATCTCTTCAACTATCCCCCCCCCCCCCCCCCCCTCCCGTAACACGACAACTCGCAACAAAAAACAGCTCGCAACCCCCCCCCCCCTTGCGAGTTGTTGCGGTACCATCCCCGCTCCCTCATGGTACCTCGTAACGATAACCTCCCCTGTGTGTGTGTAGGTACAGTGACCTGCGGGTACCCATCAATGAACTGACCAGACTGGTGAGGAACTATGCCCAGCCGTGGCACCTGAAAAGTGAGGCCCTGAAGAAGCTGCACAGCCAGTATGACCAGAAGAAGCGCATGTTGGACGTCGCTCTCAGGAGACTCCAACTCACTGCCGACCAGGTGTGCAAAACACAAGATATTATACGCATGACTCATAACAAGAGTACTAGAACGACATCGAGAAACTAGTAGCATATAAGGTTTCGAACACAATCATTTTTTGAGTTAATATTTTTTTATAAAAAGCAAAAAAATGTTTTCTTTTCTTTTTGTTCCATCAAAAACTACCGTTGCAATTATTGAAGTTTGTCTGGCTAAAACCCATCGCTAGCGCCAATATTTCTATTTTTCTTTAAAAATAGGAGCAGAAATTCTGCTTCAGATGTAGCTTCAGTTTGAGACGTGAACTTATACGACTTTTCGTTTATTATGGTCAATGTCGGAAGGATCTTTTGATTTTCAAAAATCATGATAATGTTCTGTTTCAGATGGAGCAGTTTGAGACGTGGAAGACTCTGTCGCACTGGGAGAAGTTGTACTGTCGGGTGAGTGGGAAGAGAGGCCACGGAAGGAGGTGGAAGTTCCGATTCACCCACTTCCAGCACAAGGCAGAACAGGGGTAAGTGTCCATCACAGGAGAGGGGGGGAAGGGGGGAAAAGTAATTTTATGAAAAAAGGTCAGATTGGTAAAGAGAAAACTCCTAACTAATCATAATTCGTACACTGCTCAAAATTCTAATTTTTTCTACGGTGTTGACTTTTTCTAGAATTTCGGTCAATTAAAAATGAACAGCAAGTGAGTAATTTTTATCTGTGGTTCTAGATTCGAGTACCTTCAGAGCTATCTGGACGGCATAGACCGAGAGGGGGACAGAGACCGCACCCCCACCCTACAGTTCAGCAACTCCTTCTCTCTGCAGAAGTCGGCCGCATTGGGGATGGAGGGCATGGAGGACTCCGATGAAGACGGGGAGGGTGAGGGGGAGGGGGAGGGCAGTGAGGATGAGGGGGGCAGTGATGGAGAGGCAGGGGAGGGGAGTGGGAACGAAGACAGCGGAGAGGCGAGTTGTTTTATCAAAGCTTTTCCGATAAAATTTGTAAAACGTTATAAAAACTGTTATTACAACTTTTCAGATCATGTAGGTAAATTTCGCAAATCTATTCATTTGCTTAAATTTATCTATAAAATAACCGTTGGGAAAACGAAATTCTCCAAAAATAAGTAAGAAAGTAAAAAATAAGTGAAAAAACAGTCAAAATGCGGACTGTTAATACAATGTTTAAATTTATTTTCAAATTTTTTAACATTATTTATAAACTGTGCAGGGTTATTTAGGTTTGATTATATTCAATTTAGGATTAATATAAAGCTTAGGCTGATTATATTCATTTTTCTAACTTTTTGTTCAATGAAACTTTCTGATGGTTAACCTTGAGTTTGTCTTTTAGGAAGATGAATACGGCGTGAAGAGAAAGGGCAAAAAATCAGGGGTGAGAATCTTCTAATATCCATCAGTGGTTATAAAAAGTGCGTCTGATGAAGTCATTGATTTTTATATGTATTGATGAAAGCTATATCAGCTAAAATAGCCAGTGCGGAGAAAATGGCCCACTGTCTTATCAATAAAAAATAAAAACATTCAAAACTTCCAAATGAAATTATTAAAAAAGTGATTCTTCAGAGCTCCAGAAAGTCTGGATATGTGAGACCTCCGATCGAGACAGAAGAAGCGAGCACTTGGACGAATGAGCAACTGACCGACCGATTCCTGTGTGCCAGAGTGATGAAGGTGGAGGGGGCTGGGTTCGCCAAGAGAGAGACCGTATTTCTCAACATCCAGTTTGGGGGGAAGATTCACAACTTCAGCAGCGAACTGGTCGAACAAATACTCAGTAAGGTCAAAAGTGCACCCTTTTCTTCAAACCTTATTAGAAATGCCACAAAATTTTTCATCAAAATGACAAACTCCCATTTCTTGTAAATAAAACTTACCTCCTTTTGAAAACTAGAATCTTTTGTAGCAACAAGCAACTAGAGATATTTCTCAATTACTAAATGGTTTTTTTTTCACTTCTTTTAGATTTTTTTGTTCAAGATTTTCACTTCTTTTAGATTTTCAAGCTATCTAAATTCTTTTCTTGTTATGGACAACTTTTTTGTAACATTTTAGGCTGATTTTTTTTGTTGTGAACAACTTTTTTTGTACACTTTTAGGCTTGATTTTTTTGTTGTGAACAACTTTTTTTGTACACTTTTAGGCTTGATTTTTTTGTTGTGAACAGATTTTTGGCTTACTTGCAGGCAGAGAACGGCCAAAAAGTGGTGTGAGTCAAGGCTCTTTAGGAGCCACTGGGGACAACAATCGGTCGGAACAATCTGCTCATTCGGAGAGAGACTCCACAAATGGGCACACTCCAGCAGTTCCGGCTGCCCTGGAAATGGTGAGGTGGCCCCTGGAAGAGGAAGAGGAGGAGGATCTGCTGGACTTCGGGAGGGACTGGGAGAAAAGTGAGTATATTCCCCAATCGCCTACAGTTACAACCAAATCTATAAAAGTTATAGTCGGAACTTTTGCCTCACAAAATGGTTCCATTTTTGCAAAGAAGTCTACGTATGCCCATTGAAAACTGACTATGGATTAGTAGGCGACGACTAAGTTGAGCCTTCAATAGAAAATTCTTAACTTAGAAACTTAGATTTTTCTTCAAAATTTTAAGGTTTTTCTTGTTTTTTTTTCGGAATTCTGACAACCCTTCTCGAGTCTCTGGTTTTGTGTCCAGACTATTGCGACCAAATTCCAGTATTCTCAGGTCAAATTGATTTTTGGAGTTTCTGTAAAATCATTATAAAGACCCTATTTTGGCAAAGTTTCCTGAGCCGCAGGCAATTTTTTGAAAACACGGGCCAAAATAGACGTTTTTTTTTGGCGCGCGCTCCCCTCAAAACTAGTATAAAATGGCAGACAAGGCGCCGCCTTTAGAAAAATTTTAAGGTCGGAACATTTTAAGATCGGTCGGTCTTAAGTTAGTTTCAAAGCGGGGACCCTTCGTTTCGTTCGGGGGTTGAATCTCTGAGGAAGAAGGCATCCGCGACGGGCGCGACCGAAGCATACATATCGGATACCGATTCGACTGAAAACTTTTAGAAGATTCCAGTCACGTCGATTGGTGGAAACTATTAAGACTGAAGCTAATTGTTCCGACTTTCGATACGAAAGTAACGGAATATTTGTGCTCGGGGTGTTTCTTCAGACAAATTTCGACTTTTTAGCTAACCATTTTTGACAAAATTTTTTATATCATTCAAAAAGTATTGTTGTCTTGATCTCAAATTTGAAAAGATATTTCACCTTCATCATTTTTTGTAAAGTTGTGGGGGTTTAAAGATTGCCATTTTGGCCAATTTGGGACAATTAACGCGCGATATATTTCGCGCTATTAACGCGTCAGCGGAGACGTAATCCGTCTTAGAAATCGGTCCAAACTGGTTGAAAGAAGCTTATTTGCCATAATTAATTTGTTCCAATGAGCAAAATCTATTCTTTTGTACTTTAAATGGCGTGTGGGAAGATGATTTGATAATAAAATTTCAAATTTTGGAAAAAAGTTTTTTCACATTGTATTATTACTTACAATTTTTTTATGTTACTACTGCTCCATAAACCTTAAAAGGCAGTCGGAACATTCAGGGCTTCGCCCTGATACGAGCAATTTTGTATAAATTTGTCATAAGCAATCACGATATTTGCCATGCAAAACGTTGAAATCTTTTATTATTTGACAGAAATCGTTCAGAATTGTCTTTATCAACTCAACTCGTGTTGATTCGGATTCATCCTATGCAATGTTGATATTCGCCATTTTCTCACTGAAACAAAAACAGACTGATCGTAGCATGGCGAAGCCCTGAACGTTCTGACTGCCTTCTTAGGTCAATGGTGGTGTTTGTTTTAAAAAGTGATGAAATTTTCAAAAAAAAAGAAAAACACTTTTTTTTCTAGTTTTTTGAAAAAGATGACCTACACGCTATATTAAGTAAGGAAATTATATATATTGCGTAAAGCTACGTTTTGAATGGACCAATAGCATGCTTCAACTCATAATTGAACTATTTCTAAGACAGACTCAATCTCTGCTTAAGCGTTGCTAATACGAAACATATTGGCGCGTTGACTGTCACAAATTGGCCAAATGGGCAACTTTAAACCCACATAAATTAGCAAAAAATTATTACAGAAAAAATACTTTTTTAAATTCGAGCTTAAGAGAACAGTACTTTTTGAATGATATAATTGGATATATATATATATATATACCCAGAGTACAAATATTGTGTCAGTCTGCCAAAGTCGGAAAAAAACAGTTTTCTAAATTTCGACAGCAACCTGTCTCGTAGTCGCGTAAAAAAATTTCAGATCAATCGTACAATCTACCCCTTAAGTGGCCTACTGTAGAATGTCCTCACCCAAAATGTATCCCCATAGGAAGTTTCATGGATAATAATGGATTATCTTGATTGTGTTTTTTTTGTTGTCAGTCTCCTCAAAAATAATCAATTATAATTGATTAAAAATGGATTATCTTTTAGTTTTTTCACATATCAGTTAGTATTTTTCATTTGTTGCTTTTGATTTACAGCACGTTTTATTTTTAAAAATTAGAAAACTAATATTTTGTTTTCAACCTATCCCCTTTTCTAATTTTTTGTTTTTCCCCCAATTTACATTCCTCGTTACCTCATCACATGTTAAGCCCCCCGTTAAGCCACCACCCTCCTTCAGGTTGAACTCCCCAGTTTACCCCCCCCCAAGATCTTACCCCCCACCACCCAATTACCCCCACCACCTGGGGGGGTGAGGAGGGGAGGTTGTATGAAATGCGGTGTGGCGGGGGATTTGGAATAGAATGTGGTGGGGGCATGGCAGTTGGGGTAAAGGGGTACACGTGGATGAAGTGTAAAAACTTCGCAGTTACAAAAAAAATTATCAATTTTTGTGGATTTTATGAATAAAAAAAATCGATTATTTTGTAGTAAAAAATAAAATTGTATTATAATCGACTAGAATTGATTATAATGGATTTTTGAGTGTTGAAAATCATTGATGAAAATTCCCTAATAACCCATTTTCAAGGTTAGATTGGTAATGAAAATTGATTATTTGGGTTAAATTTTTGCCGATATAATCATAGTTCTCAAACTTAATTATGTGACAAAATGCAGTTCATACAAATGCCCAAAGTGCAATTTTTTTTAAAATTGAGAACACTTTGTATTTTAATGGGCTACAAAATTAGTTAAATCAACCATTTAATAATTTTCGATTATTAATTTTGTTGATGATATAACTTTCTCTTCAAAGTGGGAGGGGGGTACTAATATAGATGTATTCCGTTTATTCTCAGATCCTATTCCGAGTACCTTTTCTTGCATATATCTTTTTTTTTGCAAATATTTTTAAATCAATTACTCCTATGATAAGATATCAATAGGGTATTCTCTCCTTCATCCTAGCCTAAAATCACAATCCCCATACTCATGTTTTTACCCGCTCCCCCACTAGTTTGATACCCCCACGTGGGGGGAGACACGCGGCAGAAGTTGGTTGACGTGGGGGAGGGGTAAAATGGGGGATACTAAAGTGGTTGGGTGCTACGTTCAATAACCAGTCACCTCCCCACTCCCCACCCTGTGGAAGAGGGAAGAGGGGGTTGTGTTTGACTTAAAGGGGGATGGTAAACATGGGAGGGGGGACTTAGAGAGAAGAAGATATGTAACTTAGATGGGAAGTTGTAAAAAAGATAAAAAAGGATAGGAAAAAATTGTTGAAGAAAAAGGTGAAAACAAGATTTCGTCGCGGAACTCGAAAAAGATTTAAAAGGATTGGAAAAAATTGTTGAAGAAAAAGGTGAAAACAAGATTTCGTCGCGGAACTCGAAAAAGATTAAAAAGGATTGGAAAAAATTGTTGAAGAAAAAGGTGAAAACAAGATTTCGTCGCGGAACTCGAAAAAGATTAAAAAGGATTGGAAAAAATTGTTGAAGAAAAAGGTGAAAACAAGATTTCGTCGCGGAACCTGTGAGAAACCAAAAGCAACTGTCTGTTTTTGAGTTTTCGAAAACTCTGCACTGTGTTTGATAATTTCAGACAAAAGTTATCAAAAACTTTTCTATTTCATCATAATTCAAATTCGGTTTAATCACCCAAAATGCGTTTTTTTTGGATAAATCTTTTTGATCCATTTCTTATCAATTATAATTAATCATTTTTGATTTTTGTGGAGGTTGAAAATGAAAACCTAAAAAAAATAGATTAGTATCTATCTCCGGTGCGGGTAAATTTTTAAAAAGTCAACTTCCAGATTACTTTCCCAGAAAACAAAGTAAAAAAAAACAGTACATTCTCAAAAAGTATAAAAATAAGAGTTTTTCAGGTGATGCCTCCTTTATGGTAAACTTGAAATTTAGTTCTTAATACAAAATAGGATCAAATTATGATCAAACCTACAATTTTACAAGCGTTTGCTGTTATATCACGCTTTTGAAAGCGTTGTTCAAAAAACAGTTTAAAAAAGTTGAGAAATTAATCCGATGAAAACCTAATAAAGTGAACTGTTTTAGTCAATTTTTAATATCTTGCCTTTCTTAGAGGAAATCAATTCAGTTTTGACAACAATGTTTTATTTTCATTTTTTACCATTCAGTGGGAGTAAAACCTAAAAAGACCCCCAAAATATTGTGAAGCAATTCCGCTTCATCTATGGATGAGTTCCGATTTTTTCGGTTTAATTCAAATCAGACCTAATATTTCATTTTTTGAAACGATCGGATGCAGGGGAAAATCCAGAACTGTTTTTTTCTGAATATGCTTTAGATCCGATAGCTGAACAGAACGGAATTATTCTTTGATGAAATTTAAAAAAAATTCATTAACTGTGAACTTAATTGATAAATTGTCAATTATAGGCTGATAATATCAAAAGTTAACTGGTGAAATTTGAGTTGTATGTGAAATTAATAAGACTAATTAGCTTGTCTCAATTCGTTTTGAACGATTTTTTGAAGCGGTGCGGGTTAATTTGCCACGCGTAAAAAACTTGCATTACATTTCTTGCATCCAAGTATAAAACCAGTTGCTTAGAAGACTCGTTTCAGATTGACCAGACTGTCAGATTAATATACCAGACCCCAAATGAGCAAATAATTTTTTGTGAAAAATTGATCTGAATAAAAAAAATATCCCATGCAAAAATAATTCTCACTTTCTTCAAAATTCGGAACAATAAAAAAACTATGTTACGAGGCGATAAATATATTCCTTTGTGGTATATATCAGCGAGTGGGGTTTAAAAAGAAAAAACGGGGAAACATTTTTTTTCTTTTTTGTCGATTATTTCGTTAATTTTTCAACCAAAAAATGTTAGTGCAGACAGAGTATGCGAGCAAGAGACCAAAAATATTACTACGATTTTGAAGAAAAAGCGGAATTTTTATGCTGCGGTTGTAAAAAAG